AAAAAAAAAAAAATAAAATAAAAGTTTCCCGTGGCGCACAAAGGCGGCGGCCGGGCATTGTCCCGGGGCTGCATCGCATTACCCGGGGCCGCCGGAGAAATCACTCGTATTTCACGCTCCATTGAGCAGCTGCCTGTATATATTTTCTGTGTTGCACTTTTAGCATGACAAAAGGAGAGGGCCTGTGAACTCCTTGCTCTTCAGACCTCTCCGACTCGTCCCCCCGAGCGGAGCCCCCCTCGGTTAGCATAACAAACTGCCACGCTTCCCCTCCGACGTGCTCGCCTTTCCCTCCTTTTATTTATTTTTTACCTTTTTTTTCATAAAAAAAAAAAAACCAAAACTTTTTTCAATTAAAAAAAATTAGATTTTTAATTTTTTTAAAAAAAATTTAAATTGTTTTCAATTTTTTTTAGAATTGTTTCAGAATTTTTAAAGAATTTTTTTAGAATTCTTTTTTCAATTTTTAAAATTTTTTATTATTATTATTTTTTTTTCCCCACACCCTAATTTAACGCACAGGGCGTGCTGAGGAATTTCAGGGCTGTCCTCGGGGAGGTTTGTCCCCGGTTCTTGTCACCCTGAAAGGTTCGGTGGCATTTTAGAGCTGTCGTCACCAAACTCGTGCTGGAGCTGCGGTTTTGCCTGGGAATTTTGGTTTTAAAAGGGAAAAAATCGGGAGTTGTGGGGCTGGACTGAGGCTCAGGTGGGGCTGGAGTTACCTGGCCCTGTCCCCAGGCTGTCCCCACCTCCCTCTGCACGGCTACGAGAGGAAAATTCCATTTTTTGGGAAGGAAGGACGTCCCGGACACGGAGTTTTGCAAGGAAAAGGAAAAAAATTTCCACTCAAGCATCAGGCCGGGACAGGCTGGGAGCTTCCCACATTTTTAATGCTCTGGAATTTTTCGCCTTTCCCCTTTCTGGCTCCTCGTCCCGCCCGTGCTCGGGCTCCTGGCGATGTCACCTCGCTGTCACCTGGCCCAGGTGGGACCAGCACGGACCAATCCTTGCCCCAAGTGGGAATTGTGGGATCCCAGCCCAGCCTGGGCTTCTGTCCGGCCTTTCTGGGCCACCTGGAGCCCCCGATGGCCACTGTGGTCACCTGTGAATGGGACAAAGGGGGGTGAGCCCCGTGCCAGCCCAGTGCCACTGCAGGGGACAGCGGGAGGTGGCCGTGCCCCCATCATCCCAAATTTTATCCCAAATTTTATCCCAAATCCCACCCCAAATCCCACCCCAAATTTGGGATCAGGGTGGGTTTGAGGGGTGGAATTTTGGGAATTTGGGATCAGGGTGGGTTTGAGGGCTGGAATTGTCACTGGGGACACCGGGAAAGGGAGGAGGTGACAATTCCAGGTCCCGCCCCATTCCCAGGAATTCCTCACCAGCCCTCGGGGGACAGGCGGGGACACCGGGACAGGTCCTGGGCACTCACCTGGGCACTCAGGTGGGCACTCACGTGGTCACGCACGTGGTCACTCACGTGGTCACTCACGTGGCTCTCACGTGGTCACTGCTGGTGGCCCCGGGGGTCCCGCTGGCCTGGGCAGGGGCTGTGCTCAGCCAAGAGCCCTGGACAGGGGTGGACACAGCCCCTGTCACCTGCTGTCCCCAGCAACGCCCCTGCTCCCGATTCCCGATTCCCAATTCCCAATTCCCAGTTCCCAATCCCAATTCCCAATTCCCAATTCCCAGTTCCCATTTCCCAATTCCCAGTTCCCAATCCCAATTCCCAGTTCCCAGTTCCCAGTTCCCAATTCCCAATTCCCAATTCCCATCTCCCACGTCATTCCAGCCTCTCCCTCACACAGCCCTGCGTGGCCTCAGCCCAGATTCCCTCATCAATCAATCACTCAATCAATCAATCACTCAATCAATCAATCACTCAATCAATCAATCAATCAATCACTCAATCAATCACTTGGGGTAATTAATCAGCCCCTGGCGTTGTTTTTGGGGCACAGCATTCCATAAATCCCTGAAAATTCCTCTCCCTGCTGCTTCCCCCGGCCCTGATTCCTGGAATTCAAACCCAGGGGAGGTTCCTGACCCCAGGAATTCCCGGGAATTCCCGGAATCCACGCAGGGATGGGGAAGGCAGGGGTGGACTCGGGCTCAGGTGGGAATTCGCTCTTGGGAATTCTCCTTTTCCTGGGATTCTGCCACATCTGGATGCTCCAGGGGGGTGGGAATCCTGCCAGAGGTGTCCCCGGCCCCCTCAATCCCAGCTTTTCCCAATTCCAGCTCCGACCCCATTCCCGGATCTCCCTCGTCCCATCCCGGCTCTGCCAATCCCAAAGGATCCCCCGGACCCCCCGTGCAGAGGATTGGAGGCTCCATGGGATCAGAATTCCCAAAATTCCCAGAATTCCCAGGATTCCCAGAATTCCCAGGATTCCCAGGATTCCCAAAATTCCCAGGATTCCCAGAATTCCCGGGATTCCCAGGATTTTGGGGTCACTGTGGTGCTCGCTCTGTCTCCACGATCCCAAGGAAATCCCTGACCCATCCCACCAGGAACGGGAAGAGCTGGATCCGATTAATTTGGGAAAAGTTTAATTTGAGAAAAGCAGGATCTGATTAATTTGGGAAAAATTTAATCTGGGAACAGCTGGATCTGATTAATTTGGGAAAATCTGGATTGATTTATTTTGGGAAGAGCCAGATCTGCTTAATTTGAGATGGATCTGTTTAATTTGGGAAGGGCTGGATTGGTTTAATTTGGGGACAATCCCCACTTCACTCACGGGGAAATTTGTAAAATTTAAAATTATAAAATTATAAAAAATTCCCGGGCCTCTGTTTCCCTGCCAGCACCCGCTTCACTCACGGCAAACTTTATAAAAATTTTAAAAAATAAAATTACCAAATTATTAAAAAAATTTCCAGTATTAAAAAGAATTATATAAATTTATATAGAGGAGTAGTCGGAAGATCTTATTCTGAATTTGTTTTTTTTTTCTTTCCTTTGTGTTGTTAATAAAGTTTTTCTTTCACTCCTTTTAAGTTTTAACCCTGCCTTGCTTTTACTCCTAATTCTCTCTCACAATAAAAAATGAATACATTAAAATTGCCAAACCTAAACTATAACATTTATTAGTTAACCGTAAAAATTAACCAAAAACCATAAAATCAAACTAAACCAAGACAATATATAAGTATATATTTTATGTATAAAATACTATATAAAATTATAATTGTAAAATATAGAAAATATTATATAAATTTCGTGCAATTCTGTAATTCATATATAATATCATCTAGATAATATATAAAATATTATATGTAATTATAATTATAAAAAATATAAAGACATTATATAAATTCACTGTAATTTTGTAATTATAGATATAATACATAACATATACTATTATATGTAATTTTAATTATAAAATATATAAAATATGA